AGATACAGAATCTGAAGCAGCTCCAGGCCCAACGCGGGGCTTGAACCCACGAACTCATGACCTGAGCTGAAGTCGGATGCTTAACTGACTGAGGCACCCAGGCGCCCCTTCAATAAGAGTTTTTAAAAGATTTCCACAACTACTGAAGACCAGCCTTCTGAATAGTCACCCTTTTATAGCAAAAACCAAAAACCAAAAACCAAACATGTTCACATAGGACGTGCTCAATAAACAGCATGTGCTCAATAAATGCTGAATTAAATGGCATGTAGCATGCCAAGCTTGTCATGCGAAAGACAAATTTTAGTGACATAGTCACAGCCATTTAACACCAGGGATCAAAGACATCTGGGTAGGGAAGTCTGGGTGGCTAAGTTGGTCGAGCATCTGACTTCCGCCCAGGTCATGATCTCTCAATTTGTGGGTTGGAGCACCACATCAGGCTCTGTGCTGACAGCTCAGAGCCTGGAGCCTGCTTCGGATTGTGTGTCTTCCTCACTCTCTGCCCCCCACACCCCCCACCCCCCCGGCTCATGCTCACTCACTCAATCTCTCTCTCAAAAATAAAATAAACATTAAAAAAAATTTTTTTTAAAGACATCTGGGATAGATGCTCTTGTTTTAAAGTAGAAGTAAATGGACTCATCACTGACTTGCTCATTTTAATAACAATTCATTTTTTTTAAACTACATTTTGGGAGTTCTTCATAGATTCTAGATGCCAAGTCTTTTTCTTCCAGTCTGTGGCTCATCTTCATTCTCTTAATACCTTTGAGAAGTTCTTAATTTTAATAAAGTTCAACTTATCCATCTTCAGATGTTACATTGTTTGTGAGAGATTTTTTTTTTCATCAAAGCGTACTCTTTAATCCCAGCCACTTATTTCACCCCCACCCACCTCCTCTCTGCACAATTTGTTTTCTACAGAGTCTGTTTCTTGGGTTTTGTGGGGGTTGTTTTTCCTTTCCTCGTTTGCTTTGTCCCTTAAATCCCACATTAGTGAAATCATACAGTATTTGTCTTTCTTTGACTTATTTCACTTAGCATTATATTCTCTAGATCCATCCATGTTGTTGCAAATGGTAAGATTTTATTCTTTTTCTGTGGCTGAATAATATTCCATCGAGTGTGTATGTATGTGTGCGCGTGTGTCTCACACCTTCTTTATCCATTCTTCTATCAATAGACACTTGAGCGGCTTCCATAGTTTCGCCACTGTAAATACTACTACAATAAACATAGGGGTGCATGTATCCCTCTGAATTAGTGTTTCTGTATTTTGGAAGTAAATACCCAGTTGTGCAATTACTGATCACAGGGTAGTTCTGTTTTTAATTTTTTGAGGAACCTCCTGCTTCCATAGTGGTTGCACCAGTTTGCATTCCCACCAACAGTGCAAGAGGGTTCCTTTTTCTCCATATCCTCACTGACGTTTCCTGTGTTGTTGATTTTAACCATTCCGACTGGTGTGAGATGGTATCTCACTATAGTTTTGATTTGCATTTCCCTAATTATGAGTGATGTTTGTTGAGCATGTTTATCATGTGTGTGTTGGCCATCTAGAAGTCCTGTTTGGAAAAATGCCTGTTCATGTCTTCTGCCTATTTTTTAATAGGGTTGTTTTGGTTTTGGGGGTACTGACTTCTATCAGTTCTTTATATGTTTTGGATACTAATCCTTTATTGGATACATCATTTACAAATATCTTCTATTCTGTAGGTTACCTTTTAGTTTTGTCGATTTTTTTCCTTCACTGTGCTGAAACTTTTCACAGACTTTACATTTAGATCTATGATCTACTTTGAGGATTTTTTGTGTGTGTTTGTGTGTGTGTTTTTGTTGTTGTTTGTTTGTTTTTTAGTATCATGTGAGTACAGATCCAGGCGTAGTTGTCTTGTTTTTTGCATACGGATATCGAATTGTTCCACAGCTCCATGTGTAACTGCCCTTTCTTCACTGAATTCTCTTTACAGTTTTGTCAAAAATCAGTTGGCCACATATGTAAGTATGGGTCTATTTCTGAACTCTGTATCTCCACTGATCAATCTATCTCTATGCCAGTGGTAATAACCTATTTTTTTTAACTTTTTAAATTTTGTGCCTGGGTTTGTCAGGGGGCTTTTACCATTATTCCAATGATTATTGGAAGAAATAGGCCAAGCAGGAGAATGGACAAGGTAGGAAAGATGGGCAGGTATAGAAAAGATAAGGCAAAAGTATCACAACAGGTTAAAAGAAAGGGATTAAAAAACATAGACACTTCTAAAAAATGGCATTTTCCCAACTCTGCCATTGCCAAAGGCCACCCCCCCCAACATGACCCTATTATGCTCTGAAAGGTTATATCTATGAGGTAAACACCATTCATTAGATAATCATTCATTTGTGCTCTCATATATTATTCAGCAGAGACCTATGCTACTTCCTGCCAGTGCGTCCGAGCAGGAGATAACCAAGGCTGCTGTAACTACTACCAAAAATAAACTGACCTTTTAGATCTCCTATGCAGTCTCATGGTGGGCAATGTTACCTCTCCATTCAGCTTTTTGAAATATTCACAAGAGCCCTCAGGATTGCCACCATTTTGCCCCCCTCCCTAAACCACTCTCTTTTTAGAGCCATGGGGTTCAAGAGTCTCAGACAAACCCTAGCCTAGAGGCTTCGCCTCAGCTTTACTTTTTTCATCAACCATATGCTGTGTCAACAGAGCTCCAGAAAAATGTGATTTGTTAGAGTGATAAAAACAAGTATAAGGCACTGATTGCCAACCCCTGGTTTTGCAATAAATTGGAATATCTCTAATTAGTAGCTCAAGAGATAGCCCCTGTACCATGAAAAATCTGAAGTCTCTAAAAGAAACTTGTAACCAGCATTTTCCTCCCTAAGGCCGTGTGGAATACCAATACAGGTTCAGCAACTCAAAAACTCTGAGATACCAGAGCTTTAGACAAAATAGTGAGCAACTGAAAATGAAACACACTGAGAAAAACTGTTTGAAAAGTTAGTCAAAAAGGAAAACCCTGCCCAAACTGCAGAGACCAATGCTATCAAATCTGAAAGCTGTACATATTTAAATCAAAACACAACTCGAAGTCAGATCCCCACATGAGTAAAATGATAGATTCTAAGTGTAGACCGTTAAAATGTCACCTTACACTCTCAAGCAATGCTCTAACAAAAGAGAACAGATGTCATTGAATTAATACATGAAAAATGAGGCAAACAATTACTGATTTCAAATATTATTCTTCCCTCTTATAAAAGTGGTTGTTTTTTTCTTCTTTCTAAAAATGGGGTGATTTCAAACATATTTATTTGTTACCCTTATACAAGGGCCCAGTGAAGCCTTCCAGAATTACTCCCAGTTTAGCACCTGTGCAGCCGAAGTGAGGGCTACCATACCTTTTAAATCTACTGCCTTGTGAAGACAAACCCAAAGTTCTCTCACCTGCAAACAAAGTACCCATCCACTGATCTCATTTGGAGGACTAGGGAGAGGAAACCCAGACTGAATATTCTCAGTTAGCCATTGACTATGTGAACTTATTACACAGATTTAAATTCTCTGGGGCTCCATTTCTCTCTAAAATGAGTACAACAGTCCATGCAACTTAACAAACATACACTATTGTGAATACAACCAAAGACATAGCCTTTGCTCTAAACTCTAGACGTTTGTGGTTGTTGAGTTTTCACTTTTAGGTTTATGGGAAATGTAACCATAGCTCTAAACTTGATTTTAAGATAGGATCTAAATTTTCAATCAAGTGTATCTGAACCCCTTGGCATGGTATCCATCACCAGGAGAGGGCGCGATGGTGGAGGATTCCATTTGTTGAGCACCAACAAATGTAAACAGTGTTGTTCTACTGAATTCCATAAAACAAAGTGCTTGGTTAATTTTCATTTGGCTGTCCCTGAAGGCTTAGCAATGCCAACTTGAGCTTACATGAAGTCATTACCACAATGCTAAAGGCTGCCATTAAAAGAAAGATATTCCTTTAAAAAAATTACTTAAAATAGTACCTATCTTCAAAGGTATTTCATGTTCAGCACGTAAGATATCCCAACTATGGTCAGTTAACATGAAAATAACACAAGCTCCAAACAGCTTTTTCTTCTTCCAAAATTGAACGCTTTACTAGAGAAACAGCCTGCATAATTAGCAATCTAATTGCTAAAATTAAGTAAAAACAATATAAACAAGATTTAAAGAAATGGAAACCATTACAAACAAATGAAACTCCTCTTCCATTAACCTTAATTCTTATCAGTCACTGTTGAGCTTTTCCTCTCTACCAGTGAGAACCCTATTTCTCTTACAATTGCTAAGGAATTTTGTTGACATAACTTACCCCAGTAGAAACCACAATATCCCGAGTCCTTGAGTCTTTATATAAAACGTACGCCTACGATGTCTGTAGTAAATAAGTGGTCAGACAGGCCTTTGAATCCACTGGCAGACTGGACACAGTTTCCTCACCCACATTTCTACATCTTATCCCATGTTCTAATATTTTTGTGGATTCCAATCCACTGGCTGAGAATGAGATTTGAAATGAAAGGAACAATGAGATTTAAGAGATAAAATATACCAGACCACAGTGCATAAACTCGGCAAAAAGTTTTTCTTTATAATAAAGAAGCACATGATCAAGTCTTTACATTATGAAAGTTGGTATAGGCCTGGGAACCAAAGCAAAAGCTGTAGAACAGGATTATCTACCTATTCAATAGAATTCCCTATAGCCAGAATAATTTTACACTATTCTTATGGAACCAACCTTGTTATTTTATTGCACAGGTCGGTTACATGCGACACACCACCATCAAACAGCTTTGTAAATTCGAAGTTTTCCTCAGCTGCCAACGGGGATTGTGGGATGGCTACCTGAGCAGTGAGCAAAGCCCCAGAAGGTCCTCCCTATTATCTTTGCTGATCAAACAACCCCAAACTCGAAAACCTTGAATCCCAAATAAAGTGACACACCGAAGAGAGATACAATGTTAGTTTCTGAAATTTTATTGTTTTTAATACATACATGTCACAAACAGAAACCTTCAAACACCACACACGATTCCATAACCAAATGTTTCAGGTTTATCAACATTCTCGAACTATTTACACCTTCTTCCCTCAACAAAAGTGCAATCCAAGACATCTTGACAAGAAGTGTTTACTGACGAGAATATATTTTTGAGCTGGTTTTAATGATGCCCATCCGTGATTCTTCCTTTCAATTAACCTGGAATAATAACAAAGTCAACAGGACACAGAGATGAGCTGGGTTAGGCAGCATCCTATGAAAGGAACAAAAACACTGAACAGGGGCGCTTACTCCTCAAGTCCTCCCCAAACCTCCGACCAAAATTGCTCTAGCGCTGCAACCAGGAGACCAGAGGGGAGAGCCACGTGGAGGTCCTGACCCGGGAAAGCAGGACAGGCTGTACATGAAGCGTTGGGTCTTATGGGACAAGACATAAGACTGCAGCAAGTCAGGTCTCACGGTCTGAGAAGTTATGCATCAGCCTATCTGTTAGTTCTAGTATTTCAACACCAAATAATATTCTTCCTTAAGATGAGTCCATTTCCCCCCAAACAGATATGAAAATACTTTTTACTCTGAAAATAAGCTTCTTTTGCAAAAACGGGAAAGCAAAGCCCAGGGAGTGCTCTTTCTCAGAGTGGAATAATTTATCCCACTCCGCAATGGCATGGCCAAGGTCTAGTTTTTAATCAAGGAGCTGATAAACTCAGTATTATCTATTACTTGCTTTCAGATGCAACCAGAAGAGAGTGGACAACTGAGTCAGCCTGAAGAGGAAGTAATAAAACCATCAGAAAGAGTTTCTCACTAGAATGAAGCAGTTAAAATGTTATTTGTTCCAAGTATAGAACACTTAAACTAAATGACAAAAACAAAAGTGAGCACAGACGAAAAATCACTTTGAAATTACTAATCAGTGGAAGTGGTTCATTTTACTGAGCGCTACGTGTATCAGAAAAAAAGAAAATGGATCTGTGGTGTGACTAATATCCTTTAACATCCAAACTACAACAAAAATAGTCCTCTTTTTTGACATACTCCAACTTCCACCAAGGAATTCAGAGCAAAGTACTTTGAGAAAGTGTGGCAAAAGTACCAAGGTCAGCAGATCTCCAAAATGAGATTTACTCTCCACATTGTTGCAAACTCAATTATATTTTATTCTCAAATAAGCCAGATTCTCTACTTTGGAGGAGAACGTGATGACTTCAAAGCAAAAGATACTCTCAGATGAGACCTGTGCCTCGACTTTTATATATCTGCAGCAGCCACAGAATCCTAACTTTGTCATCCAAATAAGGACCAAAAGCAAATTGCATCTAATTACAGGGAAAACTCCCCATCCTATTTTTCAGAGAGTAGAAAACAAATATAAGGCGAAAACACTGAATACATCAGACACTACACTCACAGTAGTTTCAGCCCAAGGACCTTGTGAATGTGTAAATGTGGAAGTTTTAAGATCCAGAACAACGATGTAAGCAGGTTTCTCTACAAAATTTTAGGTGGATTAAAAAATAGCATTACCAACATGTATTTTACTATTTGTTTTAAATTCAGAACTGAAATCCAAATGCTACTCTTAGGACAAGAGAAACCAATTTTTTTACTTGGATACATGAGAGAATCAACGGGGAACCAGTTAATTCACAATTACAGCTCTGTGTATTAAAGACAAATTTGCAAGGGCTATGTCTTATAGTCCTTTTACAGTCGCATCAAGTACCATCAGACCAATACCGATTTGCCGCTTCTTAAAGGCATTGAGCATTTCATTTCCCCCTACTGTGAAATATTTCTCAGATCATCAAACAGTAAACCAGATGCAGTAAACCGAATTACAATCATCCAAACTGAAAGATAAGGACATTAGTCAATATACTGGTTCTTTAATGCTCTGTTATTTCAAACAAAACATCAAATATGTCACACAGCAGAACTGAAACTTGTTTGCAATAATAGCTAAACAATTCTGAGAGGGAAAACGCTGTCTTTCTGAGAGGGGGAAAAAAGGTATAAACCAAATGAATAATACAAAATGTTCACATAACCCCAATTTGGTTACCCATGAAACGATTGTATTCTTAGCATTTTATTAGCATACGTGTAGTACTTGAAACTACCAAATCCATTTTTGAGAAATCAGACTCCAATTACAATTCTATATGGGTATGAGGTGTCAGTCTGTTTAAATCATCAAGTCTGTATTTAGGAAAGCCCAATGCTCTGACTAATCGAGGCACACAAATTATCATCTTTTTTCACTGATGGTGAAGTACTACCATGGAGGGCTTCAGAATGACCTCTTCTCAAGCATACTGTTTTACATTACAACACATAATGTTCTGAAAAACGAAACACATTTTAAAAAGAAATATTACCATTATTTTTCCTCAAATCCCCAAAAGCAATTTTTTCCCTTTCCTTCCTAGGGTCAAACCTATGATTTAGGAAACTCAGCATTAAATGGGTAAAATGTGGCCATAAAAATTTTGTGGAAGGCAGAGCATGGTAATAATGGTGGCTCCGAAATTCACCAGTAAGGGTCTACGGCTGTGAGATTTACCTGTAAGAAGGATCTGACATTCAATGACACTTCGACAGTGCAGCCTACATAAATCGGCACCACCCGGATCACGTTATTCATGCATTCTCCTTCAGAGCTCATCTGACCAACCTCAAAGACACAATTCAAATGACAAGGTTCTTTCTGCCTGTTCTTGCCGTCTTAGAGTCACTGGGTATCGCTTCCAAATTCATTTAGCATTGTCTCTCCACTACAGGTTGGCTTACCCACAAATCTCTGCAACACCATTAGTTTTCATAGGTCTTACAATTTGGATATAATTTTCAGTAGGAAAACTGCTAAATCACAACAGTGATAGAAAGAGCACTCGTGTCTACTTTCAAATAGTCTGCAGGCCAGTGCGCGCTGCACATCACTAAACCAAGACAGAGTAGCCCACTATCAGCTCTCCAGGTGCAGGCTTACAGTCACACATCACGTGTTTTTCCCAAGGCCAGGGAAGATCTAAAAGTGGGTCTTGAGACAGTTAACATCTTAACGAGAGTTTCCTTCCAACTCCTACCATGCTTGTCGTTTATAACCAGCTGATCCCTTTGCTAATTTCACCCTATCTCCCCCCCCACCTTCAAAGCTGCATGAGAGAGATACTGGCCCAGACTCACAGGGTTATCCATCTGGGCTCTGGCCATGACCACAGACTAACACTCAGGACTCAAGAGAGGGCCAGGGGCCAACCCCGTGTCAGTGACACATGTACACAAAGGAACTCTCCTTTAAATTAGAAAAGAAAGTAACGTCACAGATGTTTCCCTATAAAAGATATGTCATAAAGAAATAATGTCAATAAAATAGCTATTACTAAAGCAAAGCTTTCATCAATAAGCTTCGAGAACTTTGAAGGAGGAAAATGGCTTCACGAAATGGTAGTCCAGGTTCCCACAGTGCGGACACTGCTGGACATTGCTGTACTCGGAGAAGTACTGCATCCCGATGCGCACGTCTATCACAGGCTTCCCGCAGTGCTTACAGTTCAGGCGGGCCTGGGGGGGAAACACAGACGCGTGAGCCACGATGCCCTTTTGTCTCAGAGCAAGGTCAAAGTCACCCAAACCGCAACGCGACATTGCTATGTCAGAGAAATGGATCAAGAGTTTAGCGAAGCATCCCTTTTATTACCAAAAGCAGGTTATGCAAAGCCTAAGATATATATTCAAATACTCATCACCAGTCCGACACACTGACTCTTACATCTCTCTGGAGGTGCACACCACTAGCAGTTCCACCTCCTGGTAGAAAGCAAGCTCCAAACTTGTACTGCCTGAACATCTCCACTAACACTCCCCAAACCACAGGAAACCCCCCTCCCCTGGACTGTAAAGAGTGGCTGAAGCCGACTTCCTTCATTCAAAGCCTCATGAAACTTCTGGGAACATGCTGAGTTTATTTTAAAACTTCATATACATCTCTCATTCTGCTCCTTACTACACTTGTTTTCTTTGATGCAAAAATAAAATGCCCCTAAAATACTCAAGGAAAATGAACAATCCAGGAAGAAGTGCTATGTTTATCCTGAGGCTTCTGGGAAACCACCGCACAGATCTTCATTCCTGCCTGGGCCTCTGATAGCACAAGACTAGAGTCGTTTCAGCAAAAGGTCCAAGAACTTAAGTGAAAAACCAGAAATGATAAATACAACAGACTCTCAATTTAGATTCATTCTAAAAGTGTAATAGAAAGTGTGGTCTCATTTTGTGCTCAACATACTCTGGTGAGGTATGTGGTAGTATGTAAATTTTAGATGAGGAAACTGAGGAACACAGTGAGAGTGCAACATGCCTAAGACCGCAGTTAGGAAGCAGGAAGGCTGAGAACTGAGCAAAGTGGTTTACTCCAGAGCCCCCATTCTTAGCCGTGACATGGACGACCTTCCTGGAGCCTAAGATAAATTCTCTTCTAGCTGATTAATCTTTCTGAACAACAAAAGCGAAATTCTGGGCAAACCTCTCTCTTTAAACACTCTCTTTCATCTGCCATTCCTTTCAAATAACTAACCATTGCTTATTTTTGGCTCCAAGTCTTCTTAGAAGACTTCCCTTGATTACTTAATAATGTCTAACACTTGTACCTTCACAGTGAATAAACAGTTGACCCTTGAACAACACAGGTTGAACTACACAGGTCCAGTTATAAGGAGTTTTTTAAATAAATACAGTACAGTACTGTAAGTGTATTCTCTTTCCCTTATTACTTTCTTAATAATGTTATCTTTTCTCTACCTTGCTTCATCGTAAGAATACAGTATATAATACATATAATATATAAAATACGCCTTAATCAACTATTTATGTTATCGTAAGGTTTTCGGTCAATAGGAGACTATTTGTAGTTACGTGTTTAGGGAGTCAAAAGTTATAAGCAGATTTCCAACTGTGCAGGGGATCAGTGCCCTTAACCCCGATGTTGTTCAAGAGTGAACTATAGTTAACTGATATATTTTTTTTAAGCCAAAGAGTAATCAAACATATTTTCCATTTCCATAAAATAAAGGTCTGGGCTTACACTGTTTTAAGGAAGAAATACCTAGTGAGTACCCATAGGCTGGGTATGCAGGATGCCATTCTGCTTCCTCCCTAAGGATCAGGAAATAATCCCAGTGCCTTCCAGTCTGTAGAAAGAACACCAGACTGGCTGTGACACGTTTGTAAAGACCTGAGTAAAAGGACTTCTACTCTGTGTGTGGAAAGTGAGGAGGCTAAACAAGATCTCCCAGGTCCTTTCCAGCACCAACATTCTATGGGGTACAGGCCCCAAATTCTTTTATTTCCTTAATTCTTTAAAAGAGAACCCTCTCTCATGTGAGTAAAGAGAGAGGAGCCACCCGCTCCTGTTTCTCCCGTCTCAAAGGCCTGCATCACAGCCCAGTGAGTGTTACAAAACGCTACAGTGCAGAACAAAAAGGCTAGGAGATCTCATTTCCAAGCCTAATGGAATTTTAAGATGGAAATGTGGTCAATGTATCAGAATAGCATAAAAGTGATCAGTCCTATCCGGAATTAAGTGACAGGCCATGCATGGCCATTTAGGTCTCTCATGACCGTACTTCTCTTTTGAGAATACTAGGAGAGACACAGTATGGCTGAAATACCCACTCTGCAAACCTTTCCATTCAACTGGCACAGGCTGCCACTGGGCACTCGCTTTATAAAATCAAGCCATCACGCTAAAGATACAAAACTATGTCATCGCCAATAAAGTGTTTATTAGTTATTTATATTAAAAGCCAGGGTTGGCCACCATAGAGTTAAGGAAAATTCTCCCCTACCCACGAATATCAAGGAATCCTAAAACGACGCTTTCTTTTCTCCAAGCACTTGGAAATAAACCACGATACTTCCAAGAAATTTCTCTGGTCTCTGGTGTTTCCATGTACTTATTAATGTGTTGTTGGAAGCTACCGCTTCTCTTTCTCCTGATGGTGGCTAAGTTTTGGAAAATGCTTTCTCTTACCAGTGATTTACGGATTACAAATCTTTTATGTCGACCTCACTGTACAAAGCAGGCAGCTTCTGGGTAACTACACTATCCCACAGAAGGAAAGGAAAAAGAAAATCCTATCAAAGAATGTAAAAGTTTCTTCTTCCTTTTAAATAGTAACTTTTTCTTTTTTCTTCATTTTCTTTAATGTTTGTTTATTTTTGAGAGAGAGAGAGAGAGAGAGAGAGAGGGAGGGAGACAGAGCGTGAGCAGGGAAAGGGCAGAGAGAGAGAGAGAGAGGGAGACACAGAATCCAAAGCAGGTTCCAGGCTCTGAGCTGTTAGCACAGAGCCTGACGTGGGGTTTGAACTCATGGACTGTGAGATCATGACCTGAGCTGAAGCTTAACTGACTGAGCCACACAGGCGCCCCTATATAATAACTTTTTTCTTACCAGAACCTAAGTATATGTTAGTCATACAAACACAAGAAAATACAGCAAAAAGAAAACTTAAGAAACCACTTAGCACCCCAGCATCCAGAAACAACCTCTGGTTAAAGGTCAGCAGCTCCCTGTCCATATTCACTTTTACAAATGGAAGCATACTATTTTGCTGTTCTATAAACTACCTTTTTGACTTGAAACTACAACTCTTCTCCATGGATTACACATCAGTCTACATCCCCCTGCGAAGGGCTGCAGAGTATTCCAGCAACAGCTCCCTCACACTGTGGTACATCCACCTTCATCTCTGGACTCTGGGGAAGTCTCGGGATTGCTTGCAATCTTCCTCGTCCTCTCCCACACTAACCGCAGCGCCGCCTCTAACTCCCTGCACTCACTGTGGCCAGAAGCCTGCGATCATGCGCAGCTCGCTCTGTGGGGCCAATACCAACCTGACAGCAAGGAGAGGCGGCCAGGATGTCGTAGGTGTACATGGTACCCAGCTGGTGCCAGCTGCCGTCCCACCGCGACTTACACTTGATGCAGATGATCTTGTGAACCCCCTCCAGGCAGTCCACACACACGGCGTACAGGTGCATGAGCCTCCCTGTGCACAGAAGACATAATGCTGAGAGGGGCCGTTAGAGGAGATACAGAAAATGGGTTACCTACCAATTATACAAAAACACGTTACCATGCAGATAAAATACAAAGCAAAATAGGTCATGTTTATCACATATCCCCAAACTGTCCGTTTAGAAAAATGATGAATACTAACGATTATCAATGGGACATATGTACTTGAAGTTCTATTTTAGTAAATATTGCCTCAATTCACTTTTCTAAAAAGAACTGACAGGTTTACAATATGGGCATCCAAACTCAAAGGATCAAGCCACAGATGCAAAAAATCACCCAGTGATCAGAGGACTTTCTGCTCAGAAGTCTGTGTATGGCGTGGGGACTGAACCAGCAACTTTAGTCTGCAGTCAAGGGCTTTCGTCCACTGACAAGTCCCATCATAAAAAAGGCAAGTCTGTCTTGGTATTGGTGGCCCAGAATTAAACCACAGCTACGAGTACTACGTTAACTGTCTTTGTCTCCAAAACTGCTCAGCCATCACCATATTTAATTTAGGAACCAGAATTATATCTTACTTCTAAGTGGTTATTTAAAAGGATGTCAATGATTTGTTACTTACTGGGCTCTTAAAAGACACAACCCCATTCCTCCATTGCCTTTTAATATCTAGTACTTGAGAAAGAAGTCACCACCCTTGTTTACACAGAAGGATTAGGATTCGAATCATTGGGAAAGACTGGGAATGTCCAGCGTCAGCCTAGACAGTGTAAAATAGCAACACTGTTGCTCTCACAGGGCGCTCTGCTGTGCCCAAAGCTACTGTAAGAGGTACAGTAATCCTCCAAAATGTGCTGCACCCTGCCATCCACCAGTCAGCCCATGGCTCTGCACCTGTCAGTGGTTAGGGCCAGCCTGCTCCTTACCCACTGGGGTACTTACAGTACTGTACATTTACATTGCATTTGCTTACAAGGCTCTCTTTCCTCTGGGAGGGTAGGAACATGTTTTAACACACACACACACACACACACACACACACACACACACACACACTGTTCTCAGGACTAATTTTCACCTTTCTCTGCCCATTCCCTTCAGATGTGGTGCTGGGCTCTGCCAATACTTTTCCTTTACTTTCTCTTTTTTCCCTATTCAAGAGTTCTTCCAGTCTTAAGATCTGAACCACCACTGTTCTAAAAGAAGCTCCCCTAATGCTTATTTCTAATGGCACTTGCTACAGAGACCTCACCACCGTAGAGTCCCAACACCCCTTCAAACCAAATACACACCAATGCCCTCATCTTCTTCCCCCTAAGACAAGTCCCTTTCCCAATGTTCCCCACTCCTATCCAAGACAGCATCATTTATCTGGTCTAGAGTTGAAGTAAGCCAACAAGGATGCATTTTCTTCCCTGTAGGCTCCGTGTCTAGAACAATGTCTGCAATGTAGAAAGCACTGCATACTGGTTGTTGGTTAAATGGATGAGATATAGTCATAGCCAAAGATATTATAACCCTGGAGGCCTCTAAGGCGAAAAGAAAAAAAGGGAGTGGGGGGGGTGGAAGGTGACAAGAGCTTCTTGTAATACTGCCCATCTCCGCTCTAGAGCACTGAGAATAAAAAAGTCCCACGTTCCTTGCCCACGTGGAGTGGCCTGACAAGATTTCGTGATATCAATTCAAGTATCCAAGATCACTAGAAAATACTTCATTGCCAGTCTCCCTCCTAGATTTACCACTGGGAAATCTCAAACATTCAAAGACGGCCAGTGGGCTGCCAGGAAGGGCGGGAGAAGGGACAGACACAGAGGTGAGGTGTTAGTGGCAATGACCATGATGACAGAGCCAACAGGGAACCATTACTGAGTGTCCACCAAGGGTCTGGCACGTGCTCTAAGGAAGCCCCGTGAATCATTTCACTTAACCCTCAAAGCAACACCATGAAGCAGGCTGTACTGTTATTCCCACTCCAAACTGGAGGGACTGAAGTTCAGTGAGCTGACTTAACTTACCCAGGCTGGTGAAGGTAATAAGTAGCAAAGTCCAGACTTAAATTCAGGTCTGTCCCACTCTCAACCTCCAGGAAAGCTCCAGGGAACACCGGGCCTAGAACTTCTTGATTTGTTTCAGTTACTATTACACGTTGTCCTAAATACAGAGATTTTTACATTTCTAAACCGTAGGGCTGTGAGTTCAAACAAAAAGTAGACTCCTAAAAGAACAGTCACCTGTGGTTCCAAGTGGTAAAAAAGCACAGCGAGAACTTCCTAATCAGATCAATCTTAATAAATTATTCAAACCAAACCAAACCAAACCAAACCATCTTCTCAGAGGAAGAGTCAGAGAACAGAGGCTGGAGATGGAGGCTGCGGCGGGCAGCGATGGGTAAAGGGCAAGCTGGGGAACAACAATCCACATGGCCCACCCCTGGAAATAACCAGTTGTTCTGGCAGCATATAATAAACTGCAGCCTGGATTCCTGTGGCCTGGACCACGGCCTTTCCATTGTAGTTGGAAATGCTTTTAAGCCATACATGGGTGGGACTCTGTGACAGAAGAAATGATTGCCACTAGCTAGCAATAAAAAAAAAGAGTGGATGGACTTGTATGACATGTGGCAACAAAAACAATGACACAACATCAAGGCCTCACCTGTGACACAGACTGGGTCTGGTCCTAATCTTCAGATTTTATCAGCAGTCAAACTTCTTAAGACCTTTGTAGTATGTGCCTAACTAACACATCCGTTAGCTGTTTGTGGATATATACGTACTTATGTGTATTAAGTGTACACACACACACACACACACACACACACAGTTCTCAGGACTATCTAATTTTCACCTTTCTCCACCCATTCTCTGATAGGCACCCTTCAGACATGGTGCTGGGCTCTGCCACATGCTCTTTCTCTACTTTCTCTTTTCTCCCTATTCAAGAGTTCTTCCAATCTTAAGATCTGAACCACCACTGTTATTAAAAAAAAAAAAAAAAAAAAAAGCTCCCCTAATGCTTATTTCTAATAGTACTTGCAGGGGCGCCTGGGTGGCTCAGTCGGTTAAGCATCTGACTTTGGTTCAGGTCATGATCTCAAGGTTTGTGGGTTTGAGCCCCGCGTTGGGCTCTGTGCTGAAAGATCAGACCCTGGAGCATGCTTTGGATTCACTGTCTCCCTCGTTCCTTGCCCCTCCCCCACCCACACTGTGTGTCTCTCTCTCCCTCTCTCTCTCAAAAATAAACATTTAAAAAAAGAGCTCCTGGAAATTATAATTTATGTATTTACAGAACAGAAAATCTTAAACTCAGTAAAAATACTGGAATATAAAGTTAAAGAAATCTTCCAGAAGACAAGATAAAGAGATAAACAATAGGCTCAATACATATATAAGATCCCTCCATCTCAAAAAAAAGGGGGGGGATCAATTTTAAGAGGTACAATACCTGACTAACAGTTGCATAGTTTTTTTTTTTTGAGTGAAAGAAAAAATCTTCAGAGAAATAAATTAGAAGACCATTCGCCCAAAGTGAAGACCATAAGTTTACAGTCGAAAACCCAAGAGACTATCTTTTCCCATTCTGTCAGTTGCCTATTAGTTTTATTGATTATTTCCTTTGTGTGCAGAAGCTTTTTAACTTGATGAAGTCCCAACCAACAGAATGGGAAAACATAGTTGCAAATGACATATCGGATAAAGGGCTAGTATCCAAAATCTATAAGGAACTCATGAAACTCAACACCTGAAAAACAAATAATCCAGTGATGAAATGGGCAGAAGACATGAACAGACACTTCTCCAAAGACATCTAGATGGCTAAGAGACACATGAAACGATGCTCAGCATCCCTCATCATCAGGGAAATACAAATCAAAACCATACTGAGATACCACCTCACGCCAGTCAGAGTGGCTAAAATGAACAAATCAGGAGACTCTAGATGCTGGTGAGGATATGGAGAAACGGGCACCTTCCTACACTGTTGGTGGGAATGTAAACTGGTGCAGCCCCTCTGGAAAACTGGAGATTCCTCAAAAATTTAACAATAGAACTCCCCTATGACCCAGCAATAGCACTGCTAGGGATACAGGAGTGCTGATGCATAGGGGCACATGTACCCCAATGTTCATAGCAGCACTCTCAACAATACCCAGATCATGGAAAGAGCCTAAATGTCCATCAGCTGACAAATGGATCATGAAGATGTGGTTCATCTATACAATAGAATACTACATAGCAATGAGAAAGAATGAAATCTGGCCATTTGTAGCAATGTGGATGGAACTCAAGGGTGTTATGCTGAGTGAAATAAGTCAGGCAGAGAAGGACAGATACCATATGTTTTCACTCATAAGTGGAACAGGAGAAACTTAACAGAGGACCATGGGGGGAGGGGAAGGGGAAAATAACTAAGGAGAGGGAGAGAGGCAAACCATAAGAAATTCTTAAATACTGAGAACAAACTGAGGGTTGATGGGGGATGGGGGAGAGGAGAAGGGGGTGATGGGCATGGAGAAGGGCACTTGTTGGGATAAGCACTGGGTGTTATATGGAAACCAACTTGACAATAAACTATAAATTAAATTAAATTAAATTAAATTGAAATGAATGAATGAATGAATAAGAAACCAAGCAAGCATGCTTCACAGTGAAGGAGGTAGGGGGGTGGGGCCAAGTCATGGTGAAACTTCAGAACACTAGAGATAAAGAGGAAATCTTAAAACCTTCAGGGGATAGGAGGGGAGAACAAAGGGACAGGAATAAGAATAACATTTGACTTCTCAACAGTGACACTGGAAGACAGGAGACAGTGAAGAAAGGCCTTCAGCATCCTAAGGGGAAAATATTTATAACTTGGAAATATTTATAACTTCATACCCAGTCAAACAGCAATCAAGTATGAAGACAGAATCAAGATCTTATCACACTTGCAAGGTCTGAAAATACCTATTCCCACGCCTGCTTTCTCAGAAAGCTCCTGGGGATGTTTCTTAATAAACTGGGGGAATAAAGCAAGAAAAAAGGAAATATGGGATCTAGGAAACAGAAGACAATGAAAAGAAAAGCAATTATAGAATTCCTGGAAGGGCAGCTATGTGGTACAGCCAGTAATGAGCGCACCAGGACGGACAGGGGCAGGGAGACATAAGGCTCCATGAAGGGGATTTCTGCAAAAAGAAATTCATAAAAAGTATGAGAGGTATATGCAAACACTTCTGAAAGCTTTGTGAGAGCTGCTGGAGAGTGAGAATAACCAGCCGCTGTTTCCGAAAAGACTAAGCCAATGAAATTGTGAAGCAGCTATTACCTTGAAGGAAAACAAAAGATGTCCTAGAATATACTGTACTCTATACAGGAAATGCACCTACACTTCTTGCTCAACCCTAAATATTTACATAATCTAACAATAAAACATAAAGGATTTAACCAAGAGCTGTAATAGATTATCCTGATAGAAAGCGGAAGACTTAAGTCATTGACCTCAAAAGTAAGTCAACAGACAGTATCTAAATTTGGATATGAAGATAGCAGTTTTTTAAATGATGATGGTAAAACCTGACAATCAGTTACAGTTGAAAAGTGCTCATCTCTGGGAAATGAAACAGCAGGCGTTGATGGGAAGAAGGCAGGTGGGGATATATCGTTTCTACTACAGGCTTTTTTAGCACACTTTTTTTAGTTTATTGTTGTTTCTTTTTTTAAGTTTATTTATTTACTTGGAGAGAGAGAGAGAGTGTGTGTACAGGAGAAGCAGAAAGCAGAATCCCAAGCAGGCTCTGCATTGTCACAGGTGCCCCCTTTTTTATCACACTTTTAAAGTTACAAATGTGTTATACATCATGTATCTCATCTACATATAAATTCAGTAATTTAGGGCGTCTGAGTGGCTCAGTGGGGTATTGATCTCACACCACATTGCTGGTGTGGAGTCTGCTTGGGATATTTTCTTTCTCTCTCTCTCTCTCTCTCTCTCTCTCTCTCTCTCTCTCTGCCTCTCCGACCCCCTGCCCTCCACACACATCTATGTGCACTCACTCTCTCTTAAAACAAATAACTTCTTTTAAAAAATTCAGTAATTTTACACGAATTGATAGGTTTCTCACATACACTGACCAACCCCCATCATTTAAGTTATGGCTGAACTACCCCTGCTTTCCTGATCGTCATCCCCGGCGCTAAGCTTCCCCCACTTCACCACCAGGGCAATGTCTCAGCTTTCAGTAAGTAACCCTCCATTTTCCATTTGCTGCTATCCAGAGAGCCTTACCTTCGGTAAACTTTAAGATTAATTCAATTAATCTAAAAACATGCTGGCCCTCTCTGACCCCTACTTTCCCTTACTCCATCATCTTTACAAGGATCACACAGAATATACAGCATGCTGGGCACATTAACACAGGTTTCAAAGGCAACCGATTTATACCAAGTGACATAATTATGCAATTCCAACTCTAAATTCCCTCCCAGTTACGAAAAACTACACACCAGGAATCCTCCCTTCAAATTACAGCAGAACAAACATAGAATTACCCACCAGGACAACTGTAGTTGGTCCAGTGACATCAGGGTAGAGGGGGAAAAAAAAAAAACCCAACCCCACCTCCACCACTCAATGGGCAAAGATGAAACACTCAACCATCACCTAACACCTGACTAAAAAACCAAGAAAGCACCAACAGTTAAAATCAAGCCGGACCAGGGCCATCCCATCGCGTTTGCTTTTCAGCTTGTAACACACAGAAAGCAGGCAAGGTGAACGACCACCTGTACCTTGAAGATGACACGGAACGTCATACTCGATCTCATCGTGTCTCGACGGGCTCAAGAACAGAGTTCCGTCCACCAGAGGGAACTGTTCGAACACCGGGAGCGCCCTGTGGCACAGAGCGCAGTTGACGACGTTCCTGTGGCTGGCGCTGAGGGCCGCCAGGATGAACTTCCGCAGGTCCTCGCCCTGGCCCATCTGGGCGTCGTCTTCCATCCGCACGTGGAAAGTGTTCAGTTTATGCCTGGGGATGTGAGTGAGCAGCTCGGACAGGTCCAGCCGCCGCAGGAACTGCACGGGCGCGTCGAAGTGGCCGCCCCGGTGCACGGATAAGCCAGCCGGACTGTACTCGAAGTGCGTGTTCCGGAACACGTGGCCCCCGGCCATGGCCTTTTTGTGCGGCTCCAGATGGATGGCGTTCTTTAAGAATTCCCCGAGGTACCTGGAGGAGCGGGGGCCGCTGAAGTGGGCGGGGGAGAGGATGGAGTAGCCGGTGGGCGGGGACTGGCCCGGGGAGCCGCCGGGAGAGCGGGCCCCATAGGCCGCCGCGCCCACCGCCTTCTCCTGGGAGTTCTGCCGGTCCATGGAGTGCCGCCGCGGGAGGTCATGGCTCAGGCCCTTCTGGGGCTTGCTGGGCGGCCTGCACTTTTTGGCCTCGTCCCCTGCTTCGCCCGGGGGCCTCCCTGTGTTCTTATCCGACCCAGACTTCTTCTTTTTCTCATCCTGCATCCGCTTCACCTGGTACCAGTCTGTGTCCTTCTTTAAGTGGCCCTGCCCGCAGCGGCAGGAGCAGAAGCGGAAAGCCAGGTCGTAGCCCTTCTTTGTCCACATGTTCTGGCGGCACTGCTTCTCGTTCCAGCTGCGGGCCCGGCCGATGCAGTTGAACTGCACGAGGATGCTGCTCTCCCACTCGTAGAAGCACTGCAGGTGCATCCAGGTGCTGCAGGGGCAGTGCTCGTTGTTGCACAGCACCTTCTGGTAGTCGTCCTTGTCCAGGTCCACCGGCCTGCCGAAGCTGCAGATCAGGGGCGTGGCACAGGGGGCTTCTGGGGGGGGAGAGAGAGAGAGAGGGAGAGGTTCAGCACGCAGGAGCCGGGATCCCAGCGGGAACCTGGTCAGAGAGCAAAGCTACCGTCCCCACGTTAGCCCATTCATGCCAACAGGGCAATTTTCTGGTGCCGAGACTCCCACCGCTGCAGTAACACGAGACAGGATTAGAAGACATGTGCTACTCTCTTCTGGCATTTTGTTGGGCCAAGGGAATTTATTTTCAGGTATCTGTTATCTGTGGAAAAACACACCACTAAGCTTCAAAAAGTCCAAATCCTTCACAGTGCAATTAACCGCATGTCAGTACTAACAACAGTACAGTGTAGCACGAGGTTTTCGTAAGATATGGGTATAATGACAGGCAGCTCCAAGGTTCTTTTAAAAAAAGAATCACTCCAATGAACTAGGAAGTAATCTAATGAAGCCACTTAGCCAACGAGTTCAGATGACCACTCCAAAAGGGCCCGCAGAGCCCTTTATCACTAACTTTAGGTTATCCTGAATACCACAGAAAAGCTAGAAAGCAGACTTACCTCTCCCCAACTCTCCTAGAATGGTCTGATACCTAAGGGAAGAATGCTTGGTCAAACTAATTGTTGGTCTACACAGAATCACACTGCCAGGTCATGAAGGAGAAAACCAGAACTCTCCTCAAGCTATCAAGACAGAAAGCAGGAACGCCAAGATATTTCTACCCTATTTAACCACATGCCCCACCCGCACCCAAAAAGCCAATCAGGCTCCCCAAAAGGAGGGAAAACTTGGTGACACAGAGTAGAATCTATTTCCTAAGAAGTAAATAGGATTTAGAGAGACGGGAATCCCACTGGGTTCTGGTTATTTCAACATCTGTAACATTTTCAAAAGGCCCTTCTGGAAAGCAGTAATACTGCTAGTCAGGAAGCTGGGCTTGATCAGGGAGGTTCTACGTGCCAAGCTTAGTTTCAGCTTTGCCTTTTGTAGCTGAGAACCCTCAGGTTCTGTTTTAGAAACCTTACCCTGGTGGCAGTGTGGGACATGAGGCGGGGAAGATAGGGGGCACTCGTCTGGATGAAAGATGAGTGTCTGTGCCACAGGCACAGCAGCAGAGTAAGATGGTGCTCGCTGTTAGGGATGAGCCAACTCTGGTGGACAGCGAACATGAGAGGGGCAGGTTTGGACGAAGACAACTTGGGGCGGGCCTCACTCTAGACCTGCTGAACGAGAAGCCTGTGTACCAGAGGTGGAGAAAGACAAGCCTGGAGCTAAGAAGACCTGGAGCCCAAATACAGATGTGCAGCCACACACCCAGAGGTGCAGGATAAATCCGTGGACTGAGGAGTTAGCCCAGCAGGAATGTGAGGAGAAGAAAAGAATCCTGAGAAGCAATATTAAAAGGCTGAGAAGACTCCTCCACAGAGGCTGGTAAGGAATGAACTGAGAATTCACTGAAAGACAAGTCAGAAGCGAATTATATCAAGGCAGTTGGAAATTTGTAAGAACAGAGAACGAAGAAATGCACCCAGAGACCACCAGGTCTCAACCTCTGCACTACTGACACTTGGGGCTGGGTACTTCTTTGTTGTACGCAGCGGCCTGTGTACTACAGACGTTAGGAGCATTTCTGCAAGATGCCAGCAATACCACCTTCCTCAACTGTGACACCCAAGAATGTCTTCAGACATTGCCAGCTATCCCCTGGGTGGGGAGAGGGAGCAAAACTGCCTGCCCTCACTGGAAAGTACTGGGTACGTTAAAGACTGAAAAGTCCTCACCAGAATGATCAGTGAGCCAGTCAGTGACACCTTAGTAAGAACAGTTCCAGTGGAATGACAGGAGACAGATCAGAGGTGGATGGTGAAGAGTAGATGGTGAGGTAAAAAAGTAGTAGTACAGATGACCTTCCAGAAAACTCTTCCCAGAAGTACAACTGTGGAAGAAAGGAAAAAGAATGGGAAGAGGCCAGTAAGACCGGAGACCAGCACATGTTTATCTACTCAGGGAACGAACGCCAAAATTTTAGGATAGCTTGAAGAGTAGGAGAGGCAATGAGCTCTGCAACTGCATTACTCAAAGCCCTTCCCAACCTCACCCCTGCCCACTGGATCACAAATAACGCTCCACCAGCACAGGTGATGGCACCCACAAAGCCTATGGTACTCATAGGTTACAATCATTCCCTTCAGTGTGGGACTCCAGAGCATCAGTCAAAGGCCCTAAACCAACTGGTCTACCTCCATTCCTTTGATCACTGTGGCTCTCCCACCTACCACCAAGGAGCCCACAATCCTTAATCTTCCTTTGTCCAAATCCCACTAGCCTCGTGTAGCAATTCACAGCATGGGCTCTCAACCAGACTGCCCGAGCCAGAATCCCAGCAGTGCCACTGCTGAGCTGTGTGTTCTCGGACGAGTCACTTCTCTTTATCTTAATTCCCTGTACAATGCAGGCAACAACTGAATGTACTTTATATGGTTCTTTTAAGGACAAAATATACCAACACATAAGTGGTACTTAGAGCGGGGCCTGGCACGTAGGAAACCTTCTGCCCTGGCTCCCATCCTTCAAGGCCCACCTCTAGACACTGATTTCACCAGAACCGCCCCCTCCCAACCATAGTCTGGTCTGAACCTTGAGTCCCCACTGTGGTCCCACCAGGTGATGACTTCAGAGAGAGGATGCCTCTTACTTATCTTTGTGCTCCTGGCACCCCTGGGCCTAGGCCCTGCACACATCCTGTGCTAATGAAGCTGAATTAAAATGACACTGGCAAAAGAAACCCAACGTGACAAGCTGAGCAGAAGAGAGCAAGCTGAAATCCTACGCAGAGAGAAAGGCCTACGTGTACTGAAGCACACTGAAATGAAGTAGAAAAATGGTCTGTAAACTGAGTAAAATTAACTGCAGTCATCTGGGCTGTGACCTTTAGTCTCCTTTAAAATGTTAATTAGTCAATTAAACCAAGTTCAGTTGCTTTTATCTTCACTCCTACAGAGAAGCAGGCTTGGAGAGAATACCTCTGAAACGTAATGGCAGTAGCCAAAGTGATATCAACCCAGGACTAAAGAAATCAAAGAATGGCCTAACTATACCTTGGCATTCACAACATCCAAAATTTTACATCTTAAATGCTGAGTTGGCTTGGTATTTCTTTTTTTAAAGTAGTTTCACATTAAAGAAGGTAGATTAAAAGGGGGAAAGTCCTATTTATATCTTTGTCAAAAAGCTGCAAATCCATCACGGAAGCAATTTTGAGCATTTCCTATGTGCTGGGTCTTCGGAGCTGCAAGAATCAGCAACTCGTGCGAGGTGCTCTGACAGAAGCGTGTGTGGCTCCGAGCAGGCCAGACAGCTCCAGGCCCTTCTCCGTCACGGCCACCCCGACCACAGCCATGCTCACACGCAGTCTCCCCTCCACAGCTCTGCCACCAAGAGCCCCCACTCCAACCTGCCAGCCTGCTCGTTTCCATCTTGGCCACTGATGTGGTCTTTGTAGCTAGGCCTCCAACACAAAGACGGGCTTGAGACCAAACATACGTGCAACCACCACCTCAGCCTGTTACACACCTCCAGCCTGACGGCGAGGCTCCAAGGATCAGGGTGAGTAACGGGGTGAGACTCGGGTCCCACACGAGGACTCCTGACAAGGCTTCTCCCATCTCACCAGCCTTCTGATGAAGCCACAGAGGGCCGACATCTGCAGCCAGACATGACTGTCTTCTAGGCTTGGCTCAAACTTGCCCTCTCCCTCCCACTGTCCACACTGGAAAGGCAGCTGGGAATAACGCTCGAGGAGTTTGGGTGACTAGCTGTTTGATGTGGGGCAGTTTCCTGCTTCCTCGTCTGTAAAGAGAACAAAAATGCTTACCCTCATTCACAGGAAAGTGCATGTGGGAGTGCGCCAGGCAGTTCTGTAACAACCCTCCCCTGCTACCTCCACGGCCACAGGATACCTGTGTGTCTGGCTCCACAACTCAAGGCAAACTGCTTCAATATATTGCCTACTTTCTCCACCTAATGTCTTGGACACACAAAAGGGGTTCAGAAAGTAAGCAAAAGACAAATGAGGCCATGTCTCTTTTTCAATCTCCTAAGTCTTACGGTAACTAAAACAAACAGGGAAAGATTTTAGAACGCTAAGAAATAGCACAAACGGCTTTCAAATTGCACCCATAACAAATTACAGTATTACAGACATGCATTGGACTCCTTCCTGAAAGTGGTCTCTAAAGTTACAAAATTCCTAGCTCTTAAGAATTAGAGTTCCACAAAGGTGAAGGTACAGAATATAGACTGATGTGATACAACTAAACCTTTAATGGGAGAGAGGGAAGAAGGGAATCCCCTGTTCAGGAAGGGCCCGTGTCACGTACATTCCTCAGGACATCGGTCTAAAGCTGTGATAGTCTTACGGACAAGCAATATGGGGAGCTGTTCCTTCATGCAGTGAGCGTTGCTCTTACACATGTATATAAACCCTCTGGTGCGTTTTTCCGCTTCATCATCAGCTCCTCAGGACTCAGCGGCAATTTCTCCTTGCCTGAGCGAAAATAATTAGGGATCCCTCATTCTGGGCAAAAATCTCAAGTAGTTTCAAGTCTCAACAATGACCTAGGTAGGTGACATCACTTGGGCAAAAGTCTGTCACTGTCCCCACCCCTCCACCCGTGGCAGGTCTCTGTGCTCCCACACCTATTAGAAGGCAAGGGTCTGACAGCAGTCATCTACGCAGGCTGCCCAACAAACCCAAACCCCTCGACACACCCATTGACACTAACTGGAGCCCCATAAACCAGACAGACATTGCCACTGTCAGCTTTTTGACTGTAAAGTTGAATCCTTCACCCCTCTTAAAATAGTCGCCAAGCATCACAAGCAGGTGGGGAGCTCAGCGGGGTGGAGGGGTGAGGAGGGTTTTCTGAAGTCACAGGCTTTCCAGGCAAAATCTGAGGTAGGGACTTGGTCACACGCATCCTTGTAAACCCACTACGTGAAAATGACACTGTTTAATAAACGT